TCCGGAGCCCTCCACTATGGCGTCTCTCATGATCATATAGTGGTTTTGGGACGTTAAACCCCACATATCAAATCAATCATGATTATAATGTTTGGAGCTGTCATTAACATTTTTCGTTCATTCACTTCTTGTAATGCCGAATTTGGTATATATGGCATTAGTGTAACGGTCGTGAGCAAGCTATGAACGTAGCATGTAGTCATGCTTTACATGACACGCATATAATGATTATCTTGTTGGAATGCGTCATTTACCTTCATTGTCTATTGACGTCACGAGATACCAAGTTTGGCATATGTGCAGCTAGCAAAACGGCCGCGAGCCAATCTTGAGCGTGGTATGTTGTCATGTTATTACATGGCACGCACGTCATGATTATCATGCTTGCACCAGTGATAATTCTTCGTCATCCGTTGACGTCACCTAACACCAAATTTGGTACATGTGGAGCGAGCGAAACGGCCGCGAGCGCATTATAAAGGACCCAATATACTCCGAAGTAACGTTGACAAGCGTGCACGCTGGGCGCAGTGACGCTACGCTACCAAAATACGAGCGTGTCACACCCGGCGCGACCGACGCGACCAGCGTCCGTCGGCGCGGCCCGACGGCAACTGGGGCGAAATGAAGCTTTTCGCGCTGATGGCGTTGCCCAGCTCTACCCAGACAGCACTGCTATATCACTACGTCTGCCTCTCTTCGCAATGAAGGGACGCCGGGCACACTCAAACGCGCATGCGTAAAAGCAGTGCGGCGCGTGCCTGCGAGTAGTGAGTGTATGGCAGGCAGATCGGCGCCTGGCGTGGCATCGATGGAGTGACGCTACGAAACGAACGCCGGTGCACACGCGGTGGGTCACGCCGATGTGTATTGGCGTCTTGAGTGTGGCATGTAGTCATTTTCTTACATAACACGCATCTCATGAATATCATGTTTAACGTCACGTGAGTGACGTAATCCATTCACATGAGTGACGTAATGCCAAATTTGGCGTGTTTGAAGCTAGCGAAACGGCTGCGAGCCCATCATGAACACGGTATCTAATCATGTTACATGACATGCATCTGATGATTATCATGCTTGCATCAGTCACATACCCTTGTCATTCATTCACGTCCCGTAATACAGAATTTGCTATATGCGAAGCTAGCGAAACTGCCGCGAGCACATCATAAGTGTGGCATGTCGTAATGTTATTACATGACACGCATGTCATAATTTTCATGTTATGGTCTGCCGCTTGTGTTCGTCATGCAGTCATATCATAGCTGCCAGTTTTTCAACATGTAATGTGAAGGAAACCACCCGAAAGAGCAGCAAGACCTTGAAATGTAAATCATGACATTTATGACATGCATGTCATGATATTTATGTTATGACCAGTCACTTATGCTAGTCATACACTTATGTTCTGACTTCTGACATACCAAGTTGAGTATTACTGAGACGGCCAGGAAAGCCTAAAGTCTAAGCGGATAGATAGATAGATAGATAGATAGATAGATAGATAGATAGATAGATAGATAGATAGATAGATAGATAGATAGATAGATAGATAGATAGATAGATAGATACGCTCAAAGTCGCTGAAGTTCGCTAAAAAATGCTTTGCATTGAAAATGCGCGTAGATCATTGTGAAGTAGGTGGATATGGTGCTTCTCTTTGAAGCCATTGATTTGATTGATTGATTTGTAGGGTTTAGCGTCCCAAAACCACTATTTGATTATGAGAGACGCCGTAGTGGAGGGCTGTGGAAATTTTGACAACCTCGGGTTTTAAACGTGCACCCAAATCTTAGTACACGGGCCTACAACATTTCCGCCTCCATCGGAAATGCAGCCGCCATAGCCGGAATTTAATCCCGCCTCTTTGAAGCCACCGCGACAGCCCAGTGATTACACAGCTGCACAGCATTTGACCCGACAGACGTGGGTTTTAATGGCGGCTCTGGCTGTCGCTTGTCGGTGAAGTCGAAATGCTAGTGGTCCATGTACTGCGTGATTTTAGTGTTCGTTAGAAAAAAGCTAAGGTGGCAAATTATCCGGAGCCCTCGCCTGCAATGTCGCTCACAGGCTGTGATCAGTCTGGAGGACGTGAAACCCTTACAACCAAGCAACCAAGAAGCTTCTACTCTGGTGAAGTGTTAGATGATAAGCGAAATGGCGGTACACCGGAGAGCCCTCGAAGAATGTAGGTTTGGTAGCCACTGCAAGTGCTATAAAGTACCATGGAGGCTGACTACGTGGTGTTACGTCCACTAGTCAGCCCGACAATGACGCCTAGCTCGGCGAGCTTCCACCAGCGTTGAAGACAAAAATGCGTCAAACACTCCGTTCGGGTAAACTGCGTGAATGGCGGTGGCAGCGCGCACACTTTCCGTTTACTTGAGCTAACGTAGTCTTCAGATTTTGTCCAGGAATTCAGCTGGGAGTCACCACAATACGCATGCTCACGTCTGTATTGTCGCTGCCCCTCACCTCACCGTAAAGAGAGGAAGTGTTTCTGGCCATGAAGTGCAATATCTGTGCGTTTTATCGCGTGAGCGTGATTGCATGGTTGTTACTTTACATTCCTTCTGGTATATACCATCGCTAAATCAACGAACTGCTTTCATGTCTCTAAAAATATGGTCATTCATGTGAATGGCTCCATCCGTATGGAACTGTGGCCTTCATTTTGAGTGCCGACAACGTCTTTCTCTGTCTACTTCTTTTTCTTCTCTGACGGTGGTAATCCCATTTTCCTGCTTTTGCCGCTCTTTTAAAGGTGAGCGAATAAACACGTGCAGACTGAAAGATCGGAATTTCGGTAACAAGTTGGAGAGACACTAGACACGTGGCAGCAAGATCAAAGCGAACAGATGCATCATTCATCCTGACTTGTGCCAATTCAATCAAGAAAGGTTGCTTTGTCGCCTTATAGTGCCCTTGCCCCACACAACACCGCGCTAACACACATAGGTCGTTGCGTGAAGTACAAAGAGAAAGACGAAGAAAGGCGGGGTGGTCAACAAGGGCAGAGCCTCCATAAACTACCCTGCACTAACGAAAGGGAGAGGGGAAGAAATGCCATAGAGGAGGATGAAAAAGTCACCAACTCAGCTAAGGCGCAACAGTTTCGCGCTTCACATCACAACCGAAAAAACAGGCCGGTGCCTTTGGGGAAGCGCAGTGCTACAGCGCTTTTCATGCCTTTCAGAATAGGGATGGGCAGCGCCATAGCCCTATACCTTCACTATAGTGAAATCATTTCCGTGTAGTTGATTTAGAACAATGCGGAGGTGAAGCCTCTGGTTTGTGTATACGAGGCAGTGACATAAGAAGTGTTCAACAGCCTCATTGATAGCGCTGTCGCCGCACTCCACGCTGTCGGCCATCCCAGTCTTAGAATAGTGGACCTTGATGAAGGTCACGCCCAGAAGCAGACGGCACAACACTGTACGTTCCTCCATGGAAAGAGCAGAGGGTAGCCGCAGTCGTAGAGATGGGTCGAGAGTATGAAGTCGATGATATGCGAAGTGCGATGACAGCCCCTCCTGAAATGCCATGTTCTCCGCCAACTTACTTAGGTTTTCAATCCTAGATAAATGTATGGAAACAAGTTTTGTTGGTACGTCTGCATTTCTAGCAACTTCATCGCTGAGGTCGTTGCTGCAGATACCGCAATGACTTGAGATCCACTGAAACACAACGTTTTGTCCGTTATCAGTCGCAACGAAACAGGCACTTACCAGTGGAACATTTTGTACCATCGAGTAGGGTAAGATTAGACAGATTTAGTGGAGCGTCCTTAGCAGCCCGGCGGATGGAGTCCGCCGTTGAAAATTCCTAGGACGCTAAGTCCGTACGGGTCTGCAGATGCACAACTGAATCTGCCTATTCATACGCTCTATTTTACATTGCCTTACAGCAATACACTTTTCTGAACGTAGTTGCTGCGCTCACAGTTTGTGAACAGGTTTAACTGTGAAGTATTTATTGATGAACAAAAGTAGCTTTGAATATATCTATCTAACTATCTGTCTGTCTGTCTGTCTGTCTGTCTGTCTGTCTGTCTGTCTGTCTGTCTGTCTGTCTGTCTGTCTGTCTGTCTGTCTGTCTGTCTATAAACGTGCCGGTGTTTTCGCGCTCATTTCCATATCTTGATAGACACCACAATTTCATAGCACGAGATTACGTGTCACGAACGTGAAGGACTATTTATTTATTTATTATTTATTTCAAATACCCTCAGGGTACAAACGTACATTGAAGAGGGGAGGGGCAAAGAAGAAAGTTAACACGTAATAATAACTTAAATAAAAACTTGGTTATAGTTTTAAAAATACAGAAATGAATTATCACGATGACGCTTTAAACAAATATCAGTTACAAGAACAAAGGCCAATGAACCAAAATGAATAACACAGCAATCAAAACACTGGACTGTCCTGGAAGAATTACAAGATTTTATCATTGGATGCACTGCCAAAAGAGATATAATGAAAAAAAAAAAAAAAAAATGTACAAAAAGTAGCCACTCGCAAAACTAGAATACGAGAAGCATAAAAAAAAAAAATAAAAAAAAAAATAAAAAAAAAATTAAAGGTATGAAAACAAACACTGAACGATGTTAACTCGAAATGAAACTTCGAAGTGCGATTTTGAAATTATTGGTGTTAGTTATGCTTGTGAGTGATGCAGGCAGATTGTTCCAGTCTCTGGTCGTTGTGGGGAGAAATGAGTGTGAAAAGCCGACGGTGTTGCTGTGTGGAATGTTTACCTTTTGGCGATGGTCGATGCGGGATGAAATGTACGGCGGTGGCTGAAGAAGCATAGAATGTAAATATGAATTGTGGTAGTAGATTTTATGGAAAAGATAGAGTCGAGATAGTTTTCGGCGATGTGATAGCAATGGAAGGTGTAGAATGTCTTTCATGTTAGTAACACTCGCAGTTCTTTGGTAATTGTTTAAAATGAAGCGGACTGAGCGATTTTGTATTTTTTCTAGTAATTTTATGTGGTTCTGATATCCGGTGTCCCATACTGACGATGCATACTCAAGCTTCGGACGAATGAAAGTTGTGTACAGTAGTAGTTTTAATGAAGATGGCGCTTGAGGAAACTTCCGGCGAAAATATCCTAATGTGCTAGTGGCCTTGGTGGCTATGTAATCAATATGAGTTTTCCATGAAAGGTTATTGGTAATATGGACACCCAAGTATTTGTACGATGTTACGCATTCTAGTGGGATGTTATTAAGTGTGTAAGTAGGGGAAGTCACTTCAGCACTGGAAATCCTCATACTTTTGCATTTTCTAACGTTTAATTCCATACGCCATAATTGACACCATTTAGTTATGTTATTAAGATCTTCCTGAATTAGTGAAATGTCTGCGGCATCCGTCACCTTTCTATACAAGACGCAGTCATCTGCAAACAGGCATATTTTCGAAGAGACATTAGTAGGCAAATCATTAATATAGATTAGGAATAGTAAGGGACCAAGCACAGACCCTTGCGGGACACCAGAATCAACAGGAATCAATGAGGAGTTAACGTCGTTAGCGGCTACAAACTGAACACGTGATGTTAGAAAGGCGCGAATCCAATTAATTACAGCTGTGTCGATGTTTAGAACGCTTAGTTTATGAAGTAGCAGTGCATGGTTCACTTTGTCGAATGCTTTAGAGAAGTCGAGAAATATACAATCTGTTAAAAAACCGCCATCTAGATTAGAGTGGAGAAAATGAGTGAAGGCTATGAGCTGAGTGTCACAGGAAAAGTTTTTGCGAAATCCATGCTGCGAAGCTGTGAAGAAGTTGTTATGTTCGAGAAAATTAACCAGATGTGTGTAAATTATATGCTCCATAATTTTGCAAGGCACTGATGTAAGAGAAATCGGTCTATAATTTTGTGGGTCATGGGATGGTCCTGATTTGTAAATAGGGATGACTCTGCCAGTTTTCCAGTCAAACGGTAAGGTACCCGAGTTGTAAGATTGCGAGTAAATATGTTCTAGTATGATTGAGCAATATTCAGCAGTGTTTTTTAAAAAGATTGCATTGATTTCGTCTACCCCGCATGATGCTTTAGATTTTAGTTTCTGAATGATGCTTTTGATACCAGTGGAGTTGAAGATTATGGGATGCATTGAGTGGTATTGAGTAGGATGGATCTCAGGCATCGGACCGGGAAGGTTAGGTGATGAGAATGACGAAGCGAAAGTTTCATTGAGCAGAGTAGAACACATATGCTCCGGTACAGGGCCCCCAGAACTTGTCAGCAGTGATATACCATTTTTATGAGCATTTCCCCGGATAATCTCCCAAAAGCGTTTTGGGTTAGCCTGTATTAAGTTTGGAAGCGTGGATTTAAGGAAGGAGACTTTGGCTGATTTTAGTGCTATGAGATATGAGCTTGCAGCGTTTTTGTATGTTAGCCAATGAGACGGTGTTGAGTGAAGTTTAGCTGTGCGGAATAAACGTTTTTTCTTATTGGATAATCGATTCAAATATGTACTATACCATGGTGATTTATTGTTAGCGTAAACAGTCCGAAGGGGGACATGTTTGGTTATTAGCTCACCGATTTTATTTTTTAAAATGAACCAGTTAGTTTCGACGGAGCGTTCTAGATAACTAGGTAAAAAAGTGGCCAGAAACAGGCACAGTTCATTGTTGATGGCCTCATAATTAGCTTTTTTATAATTTCGAATCTTTTTCCGCTGTCGCTTTATCTTTTGATGAGGTGTTGTAATCGTGAAGAGCAGGATGTCGTGATCGCTCAGCCCTGGCATGTGTGTTACTGTAGAAACTTTATCAGTTGATGTCGTTAGAATCAGATCAAGGAGTGATGATTTGTTTTTTGTTACACGTGTTGGAAGTTTGACTATCTGGGATAAGCCGAAGTCAGAGCAAACTGAAACGAACCGATTGGCTTCAGCCGTTGAGGGGTTAGAAAAAGGGATCGAATGAGACCAGATGATGTCAGGAAAATTAAAATCACCCAAGAGTATAATTTGAACTCCCGGGAAACGCATGGTAACCGCATTTAAACTGTCGTGAATGTCATCACAAAAGGATGAGTCACTTGATGGGGATCTGTAGCAGACACCTAATAATATTTTCTTAAAACTAATTGTTAGGCAACACCAAATAAGCTCTAAATTCGAGTTGATTGGCACAAGAGAACAATTTATGGATTCTTTAACAGCGAGCAAGACGCCACCACCAATCCTACCAGTTCTGTCACTTCGGTAAACAGTATAACGGTTTGCACACTCAAAGAGTTCGGGGTTTGTTATTTTGCTACTTAGCCAGGTTTCTGTCAGTGCAATAATGTCGGCGTTACAGTCATCAATAATACCACAGAATTCATCTTTCTTGGGAAAATAACTACGAATGTTGGTAAAAAGGACTGAACACTTGCACTCGTTTATGGTTCCTCCCCTCAGATGTCCCTAACTCGGCGGTAACCTACGACCTGAGCGAAGAGTTCTGCTACGTTCATGCTCGTGTGTGGGTTTTTTTCTGTGTATTTCGAAAATACAGTTCTTCGCTTCGTCGTATCCGTAAGATTTGCCATCGAATGTCAGCGTTTTATACCGAAGTTTGAAGGACGTGGTCTTTGATTTACCGTATTCTATTAGTTTTTTTCTTATGTTGCGCGTTGTTTGACAAAAATCTTCGCTCATTGCTATGTCAGTGCTCTTTAGCAAACCTCGTTTTGAAAAAACCAGCTCTCTCTTTTTAAATGTTTCAAATTTCGTTATAAGTGGTCGAGCTTTCGCTGAATCATAGCGTCCTATTCTGTGAGCGCGGCATATATCAGAACTTGTGACATCAATTTGGATAGTATTAGTCAGGAGGTTGATGATCTTTTTTTCCGATTCCGAAGAAGTTTCATCTGCGGCATCTGGAATTCCATAAAAGACAAGATTGTTTCTCCGCGATCGATCCTCTGCGTCATCAAGACGCGAATGCATATTACTAGTGTCTTTTTCAAGGCGCTCAACAGTGGTGCGTAGTTCTTTCATTTCATGCTGCCAGTGCTCGAAAACGGAGGTTTGGTTTTCAACTTTCGCCAGTCTGTCCTTTATTTCGTTTATTGATTCTGAAACTGACTGTTGTTGTTCTTTTAACACAGATACGGTGTCCAATATTGTTGTTTGCGCTGATTCCATTCTTTTTGTACGTTCGTTCAAATCCTTCATCGTTTTCACTAGTTCTGCTAAGTTGTCAGGACCTGGGTTGCTTTCTACATCCCCACAAAGAAGTAGTAGCAAAGAACAAAAAGGCAAGAGAACGGCTTGTGGGCACGGAAGCACAACAATAAAGGGTTCATCAGATCGGAAGCTACGACAAGGCAGTTTAGAAAGGTAACTAACCTGCAAGACGAAAAGACAGGTGCGTAAGCCTTTGGCTGTTCTTTCCATCGCGCTTCCGTGCCCACTGCAGTGATAGTGCTCGATGCTGGGTCTTATCCTATCCGGACGAGATGACGTTGATGTCGCAGCTGCGCACTGGTGGTGCTGCAGGTGGCGCTCGACGATGTTGGTCAGGTCCCAGCAAGCTGTTTCTGGCAGGTCTGGTGAAGGGGCAACAGCACAGATTCCGTCCGATAATGGAAGATCCGGGGAAGGGGCGGCTTCACGAATTCCGTCCGAGAGCGCGAAGCTTTCCCGTAGACCAGCCACTGGTACGCCGGCCGCGAAAACAGCGACGTACTGCAAGACGAAAAGACAGGTGCGTAAGCCTTTGGCTGTTCTTTCCATCGCGCTTCCGTGCCCACTGCCCATTGCAATGTACTGTATGATATGCGTATCATACACATAAGACATATATGAGGAAATGCTGTCGTAATGCCAAGGTGGACGTTTTAGTATCTTGACACAAACCAAATGGTACATCGCATGAATCGCGTGTATGACAAACACAAATCATACTCCACGACAATATTGACACGTCATTCCTGTCGAATGCATAATGACATTATTGGCACAAATTTCATGATCCATACGTCGTGGAGCTGTGGTGGTTGTTTCCCTGATGCCGCATAATACCATGGGTGCTATGCTTCCACGGGTGGCTTCTTTTGTGTCCCGTTTCTGTACTGTTTACAATAACAATGTATGTTACCAGAAACGCATATGGTGGTACAAAAATACGCAGTAATGAATATTGTTTACAGAATCAATGATATTAAACGTCATGAACGAAAGTATAAGGGCTAGAATATACTGCCTAGTGTGCCGTTCGCAAGCTCCTATCAAGGATGACACCACTATGAATCAATGCCCTGGTGGCCGCAGAGGGTTCTTCGAAGTGGGTGGGTGCCGGCAGCATGTGTCGTCTACATCGCAGAGGCGACTTGCAGTAGTTGCGTGTTTTTCTGTGTTCGTGTTTTCATTCTTATTAACGGGTTGTGGGTTTGTTATTCATGTCGTCAGAGGGTGAGTGAAAGGTTGTCGTGTTTCTGTGCCTGTTACAAAGGGAACTATGATATAAATAATAGAGTGTTGAGTCCAATTCGATTGAACGAAAGTACCTGCCTCGTACAGTTCCATACATCTGATTACGGTTCAAACTAACAGCAACTATCATTATTCACGGCCCCGTCAGCTGAAGCACGTCTCATGGAATTGAACAGAAGGTTAAAGAGGGTGGACAGGAGACTGCACCAACTGCTGCGGTTTCTGAAAAACACTTTGATGAGAGTGTTATCCAGCTCGCTTTCACCATCACCGTGAACGGCGTTGTGAACAAGACTATTCGCGAAACCACGCCTAAAACTTCATCCGGTGCCCACGATATTCCTAGAATATCCTCAGCACCCCGTTCTGAAAATATCAGCAAAATAAAAAAAAGAATTGTATGGCTTCAACATTGAGACATTCCAGAAAATTTTGCCGTAGCGCCATGTAAAGTGCCCCGAAAGCAATCTCTCCTTTCAAACAATCCTGTGCTCAGCATGATTCTTCTGTACCCCACATGTGTGTCACCACATGTGTGTCAGAGGAAGCAAGCAATGAAGCTGAGCACCCGCAATGCACCAATCTACACCCATTCAGTCACGCAAATATGGTCTACTTTGAAAAGCCTTTGCCCGAACGGCCATCAATAGTATATATATATATATATATATATATATATATATATATATATATATATATATATATATATATATATATATATATATATATATATATATTGTAGGCATCTATTATGAGCTATCATCATCTGAACAGCAGTCAATCATCATCACCTGTTCTGGCTGACAAAAATCACCGTCTTTGAACATGCGCTTCATCTTCAGGTACGTTGCGCTTGTTCGTTCCAGAGTTCACGGCCAATAAATCTCGTTACAACCGAGTCGTCATACGTGGTGGAGGTGGATTGACGATCCCGGACCTCTCCTCACAACGCCTTCTAGCTGGAGCTCTGTCCAGGCCGCCGCTTGGACCCTCAGTCCGCTAACATGTCTAAGGGTGAGTGGGCGGATGCCCTTTCTGCACCCGTCCCTGCGCCGCAAGCCCATCCTCTTTACATTGTAAACCGTCAGCGTGACCCTCCGATCTTCGCTGGTCTCCGCGGCGAAGATGTTACTATTACTGGCGCTGTAACTAGATGAATAGTCCATCTATTTAGACCATTTGACACGTAGACCATCTGACACGCTACGCCGAGACAACTTCAGTAGCTACTGGTTCAGCATCGGAAGTTGCTGACTTCGTCCTTCAGGCCATACTTCTACGTCATGGGGCTCCTCGCGACCTAAGTGACCGTGAAAAGGTGTTCTTATCACAGCTTCTAGGTGAAGTTCTTCGCGTTTCTGGTTCTACACACAAGACGGCGTCTAGCTACCATCCTCAAACAAATGGTCTGACCGAGATATTTCATCGAACCCTTGCTGACATGATCGCCATATACATTAAACCGGATCACAGAAACTGGGACAAATTTCTACTGTTCCTCACTTTCGCCTACAACACCGCTGTTCAGCGCACAACCGGCTACTCACCATTTTATCTCGTTTACGGACGTTCAGCTACTTTTTTTATCGATGTTACCTTCTTCACCAGCGATGGCCCTCCATCACCAGCTTCTTGCGAAGAATATATTTCTCGCCTTTGCCCAGTGCCGCCAGTGCACTCGTATGAACACGGAAGCTATGCAACAAGCAAGGAAGGCCGTCTACAACGCCTCTCTTCGTGTGGTATCATTCCGAACGGGTGGCGAGGTGCTGCTATTGACACCAATTCGCACACCTGGTCTCTGCGACAAGTTTCAGCCTCGATTCATCGGCCCATATGTTGTTTTAGAGCAGACATCGCCTGTCAACTATCGTGTGACGCCTCTTGTCGTGACCACTGACCATTGTTACCGCAGCACCGAAATTGTACACGTTACCCGCATGAAGCTTTTCACACGACGTTCCTTGTCACCTTGACTACCCGCCCACAGCGGCCAGGCTGGCCGCTTCAACGTGGGGGGAATCAGTGTAGGCATTTATTATGCGCTTCATCCTCATCTCAACAGCAGTCAATCATCATCATCTGTTCTGGCTGACAATTATTGTCTTTGAACGTGCACTTCATCTCCGGGTTCGGTGCGCTTGTTCATTCTCGAGTTCACGGCTAATAAACCTCGTTACAACCGAGTCGTCATAATAAATATATTGTTAAGGAGTTTATTAGCCGACACGAGCAAGAATATACAATGGCGACAGTCACGGCCAAGAAAGGGCTCTCAGCGCGAGCGGCGTCCTTGTTGGGTAGCTCCACTAGAAGGTACTCAAGAGTTCGACCCATTTCAGAGTTTGGAGACTTCGCTACAATTACCCCGGGGTCGAAGAGGGAGCCGCCTGGCGACCTAACAGCTTGTTACTATGAGCGGTTCATAATAAGCCTTGAGGCGCTCCTCGTTGAGGATGTCTCGCCCATGGCGGCGCATGTCCGAAGATTGTTCAACCGGTTCGATCAGATAGTTGACGGGTGAAGTGCGCTCGATGACACGGTAGGGGCCTTCGTATTTGGGAAGTAGTTTGGAAGACAGGCCAGCTACAGAGGTTGGGATTCAGAGCCTTACAAGCGCACCAGGAAGAAACGTGGGCTCAGAAATGGTGAAATCATCATGAATAGTCTTCTGCCGCTTTTGCTCTTGCGCCGTAAATGTCTTGGCAAGCTCGCGACACTCTTCAGCAAGCCTGGCTGTTTCGGAAATAGGTGTACACTCAGATGGATCCGGCGTGTACGGGAGTATCGTGTCCATGGTGTGCGATGGGTGCCTTCCGTACAGCAAGTAGAAAGGTGAAAAACCGGTCGTGCTCTGAGGGGTGGTGTTGTAGGCGTAGGTGACGAAGGGCAGTATATTATCCCAATTAGTGTGGGTGGCAGGGACGTACATAGAAAGCATGTCACCGAAGGTGCGGGTAAAGCGTTCGGTGAGGCCATTCGTCTGTGGGTGGTAAGCAGTAGTTTTGCGGTGGACAGAATGGCACTCCGTCAGGATGGCTTCGACGACTTCCGACAAGAAGACACGACCTCGATCGCTGAGAAGCTCTTGGGGTGGTCCGTGGCGCAGTATGAATCGATGCAGCAGGAAGGACGCAACATCGCGCGCAGTAGCCGCAGGGACAGCTGCGGTTGCGGCGTATCGCGTTAAATGGTCAACGGCAACGATGGCCCAGCGGTTACCAGCCGACGTCAGAGAAAGGGGTCCATACAAATTGATACCTACGCGCCCAAAAGGATGGTCAGGGCAAGCTAACGGTTGCAGACCGGCGTGCGACATGTGTTCGGACGGTTTACGGCGTTGGCAAGTTAGGCAAGTGAGGCAAGAGCGAACGAACTGCTGCACGTAGCGGTACATCCCGCGCCATAAGTAGCATTGTCAAATGCGGTGGTAAGTTTTAAATACCCCAGAATGTGCACATTGCGGATCAGAATGAAAAGATTCACATATCTCCAACCGCAGACTGCAGTGTATGACGAGTAACCACTGCCGGCCATCGGAGTCGTAAATGCGTCGGTGTAGGAGCCCGTCACGGATGGCGAAATCGTGAGCTCGACGACGCAAGGCACGCGCGGATGGTGTTGCGGATGGATGAGAGAGCACGTTGATCAGCGGGGCGATCCAATTATCCTTTCGCTGTTCGGTAGCGTGGATGTCAACATCGATGAAAGATACAGCAATTGAGGTTACTGAGCAGGGCACACCGTCTTGAGGTAGAGGGGAGCGTGAGAGGGCATCAGCGTCAGCATGCTGGCGTCCATTGCGGTACAGCAAACGGATGTTGTAGTCTTGTAAGCGAAGAGCCCAACGGGCGAGACGGCCTGAGGGATCCTTCAATGATGAAAGCCAGCACAGTGCATAATGGTCGGTGACGACATCGAATGGGCGACCATACAAATAAGGTCGAAACTTTGTAAGGGCCCAGACGATCGCCAGGCACTCTTTCTCCGTGACGGTGTAGTTTGTCTCGACTCTCGTGAGCGCACGGCTTGCATATGCTACGACGTATTCAGGGAATCCGGGTTTTCGCTGCGCCAGGACAGCGCCTAGGCCTACACCGCTGGCGTCCGTGTGCACCTCCGTTGGGGCTGTAGGGTCGTAGTGGCGTAGAATGGGAGGCGACGTCAACAAATGGCAGAGCTTCGCGAACGCGTCGTCGCACTCGGATGACCATGAATTGAGGGGCCCGTTACTTCAAAGGAGCTTCGTCAGCGGTGATATGATCGTGGCAGAGTTTCGTATGAAGCGTCGGAAGTATGAGCACAGGCCC